TAAAAAATCATTCCATTCCAAGAAATTTCGCGGAGTTTTTTCGTGATAGAGCAGTGTGTTACCCTCCTACGGAACCGGACGTGTTAGTCTGTCTGTCCTTAGGCCCTCCCTTGTCTTCTCAAGGTGAGGCTGACGATTTAAAACTTCCATAGCACGTCTGCGACCAGCTCGGCCACCGTGCCGTTGCTGGGCGTCCAGACACGAAATAATAAAAATTAAACACGGGAATTTTTTAATCTGCGTCCCGCACAGAAAAGCCTCTAGATGCCCACAAAGGCTGACCTCCCGGCGCTGATGCCATGTGAAACATAGTGAGTTTTGAACGACTAGTGAAAGCACGAGATGATATTCCGTGCGTATAAAATAAAAAGAGGAAGCTGTCTGGAGAGCGGCTCCCAGCGCATTTCCAATATGTGCGCTATAAAATGGTGGATTCGAGTTGCTTGCAGTTTGAACGTCCCATAAACGTATAAAAGCTGCCTGGTTGATCCTGCCAATAGTCATATGCTTGTCTCAAAGATTAAGCCATACATGGCTAAGTACACTGCGTAAAAAACATGGAACAGTTCTATATCTCCGTTCTATTGGGCCGATTGACAAAATTTCAAATTGCGTTTTTCAGGTCTCGAAAGCGAGGCTTAGGATATATATTCGATTTATATAAAGCATTGTTCTAACATAGGTATTTTGATACAAAATCGGATTTTTTTCTGAAATAACATACCAATTTTTGTTCATATTTCGATTCTGCGACTCAAATTACGCCTAGATATTAAATTTTGTAAAATTTGGTGCGAAGGTTTCTGAGAAATTCAAAACTTTACCTTGGCGTAATGTTTTCAGTTTGAACCAAGCATAATTCACTTTGCAAACTTCTTAATAAACTTCTCAACCTATTTTTCTTTCCCTTCCATTATGCCGAAGCTGAAAAAAGGCATCTCGTTCCTATTTTTTTTACATTGTGCATGAGCGGAAAATTATTAAAAAACGGTGAAAGCCATGATTTTTCAATATTTAAAACTACGATAGGTAATAGTATCAACTAGATAGTAAACGAATGTCAAAGTTTGACCTCGAGTGGAAAAATTGTTCCAAAGATTGTTTCAAAAATTCAAGGAGAAAACGAAATGTTTCGAATGTTGCAAAGGTTGAATCTCTAATCTTAAACAAAAATCCGCCTATTCAAAAAACAATTGCAAAATTATTAAAATGCTCAGTGTCAACTGTAAACAAAATAATTCATACTGCTTTGAATTTTAAAAAGGTAAAAAATTGTAATTTGTTTTATTTTTCTCCGCGACTTATCGCCGAAAGCAGAACGTGCTGCAGAATTCTTTATGAGAAACACTTATCCGCACAAAAATGGAAAAATATTGTCACAATAGATGACTGTATTAGGTGTACTTAAATAACAGCAATAAAAAGATATTCAATTATTATTATCAGAAAGAAGACAGGGTTAATCTTTGGATTATGGTAACTTGACGATTTTTGGCGAAAATTTGGCGACCAACCCTGCTACAGCAACCTGCTGGTTTTTGTTTAAACGCCATTTTGTTTTCACGAAGTAAAGGCATTTTTTTTTTTTTTTTTTTTTTTTTCCTCAACATTTTTTTCCAACAATCTGCTAGCCGAATTACGCTTATGCTAGAACTTTTATGGAACATAAGGGCTTAATCATGACAAAGATTAGGTACGAAACTGGGAGAAAGTGCAGAATCGCAAACTGCTTGCCGCGTTTTTAAGAATTGCACATACACTGTAACCATGTACACGTCGACCTATTTTCACTTAAAAAAACATCCCAGAATTGCACAAAAATGGCATTGCGCACACTATTGACTTTATCCATGTACACGGCTAAAGTCCTAGCTAGAAACCTTTATCGCCTTACCAAAATGTCGCCAAACTACCTGCTACCATATTCCAAAGATTAGCTGAAGACAGAAGTCTTAGAACATTGTTTAAAGAATCTAAAGAAAGTTTCACAAAGTGATTTATGATTTCTGCTGGTTTTTCATATAACGGCAAATTAGAAACAAAGAGAGTGGAGAAAAGTGTGAGATTAACTCCACATACTATCAGGAACACATTTCCAGACCCAGTTTTCAAATGTGAAGTAATATCTTTTTGCCCACAGTGCTATGAACCAGAACTGCATTAAGACAAAGGAAGCAGTCCCATGTCAAAATCCACGGCTAACTTCCTCGAAAAAATGGAACAAAAAAGTGTATAAAGGCCGCACCGTGTTCATTCATATCCTTATAAATCCGCTGATGTATCACCTATGAATTTTTGCGCTTCTGGACTTTTAAAAAGCCGGATTGTCCAACGTCGACGCACAACCTTCCTTGGATTTTGGAAAGGTGTTCAAGAAGAGTTAGATAAAATACCTCTTCCTGTACTTCAAATCTTTTTTGACTTAGAAATTAAGGTGTAGAAAGATAATGAAAAATAAGGGTTACCAAACAGAACATTTAAAACACGAATATTTTAGGTAAAATATTTCTATAAATGCAATAAAAGTCATCTAAAAATGCAAACAGCGTCTATTTTGTAATTTTTCAAATAGAAATTAGTTATAAAAATCGAAACAATATGAAGCAAATATTGGAAAATACAGAAATTGTAAACATACCTTGCCACACTGGCGACAAAAAGAACAATTGTTAAAAGTAATATTCCTCCTAGAACAGCACCTACAATAATCGTATTGAGACGAGCATCTGAAATAAATTTAAAAGAAGTCATTTTATTTTTTTTTCTTTTGAAAAATTATATTTTTATTTCTTTTCAGCAATACACTTAAATAAGATTCAAATTTCAAAAACATACTTTGTAACCAAAATTTACGGCAGAATAATTGCGTTGTAAATATGAACAAATATTTGGTTTTTTAGCTATCATTTTCATTCTCGTAATGAAAGCTGAATCAGTCTTCAGTTTGGTAAGCGCGAATTACTGGAAAATTCATGTCGTGTGAAATTTACAATGCATAAAGTGTGCTTATGTTAATGGTCATTTAAGGTAATAATTATTTAGTAGAGATTCAATAGATTTGAGATGCATCAATTTTGCTATAAATATTTTCTAAAATTATTAGAACATATTTTTTTTTATTTTTATGAATTAATTTTATCATGCAATATATTAAACAATAATAACGAGATATGACCTTTCTGCTGGATTAATATCTCATTCCCATTTTTTAAATTGACCAGAAACACTCGTATGGTCAAGAAGGTAAATATTATTATAAATATATGTAAATATTTGCGTTTATTTGATTGTAATATGATTTATGCGATTTTTATATATCCTGTTTTGTTCATTTATTTCTTTATTTGATGCGTTTGATAGAATAATTTTAGCGTCTATTTTTTGTTTAATCATATTTGTGGGCACGTATTGGATTTGTTAAATTTTACTTCGCATCTGATGTTATAGATTTTATAATTCTGAATCGATCAATGTTAAAAATGTGGAAATATCTCAATTAGAAGCCCAAATATAAGCAAAAATTCTTTTGATGACCCTTAAAGACAATTTTTATCACTACTGGCGACATCTAATAACTATATTGGCCAAGTTGGCGATATTTCTCGCTGAGGTTACTAGAAACTTTTTTTTTTTTTTTTTTGTTAAAACTGCACTGATATTAATCCATTTCAGTAGTACAGAACTGCTTTCAAATGACCTCTACAAATTAATTTGCTTAATTTGTATGTAAGGATATTATACTTTCATAAATAGAGTTTTTCTTTTTTTGAGTTTGCTGTCTAACAATTTTTTCATTATTTACGGATTTGTGAGCAAGCATATGTAAGTTATTTTATTTCCTTGAGAATAATTTTCAAAATATTTTTATAAAATAATTTTTGATACACTGCGAGATAATATGTCTACTTAAGATTTCTCAAAAAACCACGTATACTTATACCTAACGCTAAAAAAAAAAGCCTAGCATTGCCACTCTACAAGCGTAAAATATATATGTCTCAAATTTAATCAGAAAACTCGGCGATATAAAAAAATGTGTTGCCATTCGAGGGAAATTAATTATATTAATTTGTCTCGAATTTAATAAACAAACTCTCCTATCTAAGAGAAATGTGTTGCCACTGCTCAAATCAAAATATTTTCTTTTGGTGGCTTTGCACAATCATAAAATAGAAGTACGTCAGGTTTTTTCTTTTACAGTTTCATTTGCACTTTTATAAAGCTCTATTTTGATCAATTAGAAAAATACGATTATTTAAGAGTATTCATACTTTAGAGAGAAATAAAAATAGGTAATTAATTCTTGTATAATTTTTATCAACAATTTTCATTCTCATTTTTTCATCTTGCTGCATTTTTCACAGTTTAATTTAGTTTAATTATTTTACTGCCTTATTAACTGATAATTGTTCTTTAATTTTTTTCTTAAATTACGTAAAGTACACTCAGAAGCACTGGTAAGGTAATGATTGTCATACGTTATCTCCCCAATGAGATAAACTTAGAGTTTCTGATATGAAGAGATATTTTTATCTATTTTTCTCTATTTTGCCCCTTTTACAGTATTTATTTCACAAGATTTCATAATTTGTTTCATATTCTGGTGTTATTTTTCACGATTCTCACTTATCTTTTACCATGCAGCTCTATCAACTTGAATTTCCTGGACTCTGGCACTCAAACCTTTGTTTCTTACACTATGTGAAACAAATTACTTCATCTGCTTCGCAGAACCTACTTTAATATCTTAGAATTACCGGTCTCCAAAGCTATTGTGATTTGGCGGATAATTTCAGAATGAGTTTAAATGTGAATGCAATTGTGTTTATGCAAAATTTAAAACAGCTTCAATAAAAGTATTTCAGGAATTCATAGTTAAAAAACAAGGAATCGTATTACATTACTGAATATAATAAAGGGCTAGAGACCAAAGCGGGAAGTTTTATAAGTTTAATCGATTCATTACCGTAACGTTATTTTGGATTAAACACCATGCTTACTTTTGAAGTTTTCGTCTTGCAAGTTGCACATAGCACCACTGAAACCGGCATCACATCTGAAAAACAAATTTGATTCTAAAATCTTTAAAATGAAAGCCTTAATTCGATTTTAAATAAATTCAGATTTATTTAACAAAGTTTTAAAAAAGTGTTTCTGTTTCATTGAGTCGTTTTAAAAATGTTTGTTACTCCTTTCCAATAAAAACTATAGGGTATTTCAACAAGAATATAAAATTTAAATTTTAAATAAAACACATTTTTTCTTTTTTGAGAAAATGCTGAAACGTTGATTTAATCATAAAGCAGAATGTGAGAATAATATGTAGAACAGCAAGTCTGATAAATGCTCTCCTCTGCTTGCTGCCACATTTCACGAAATTTTCGATCACGATTTGGCATAATTGTGGCTGGATTTCGGTGATACAATGTCTAATCTCCTACTGTAAGACAAAAGGTGGTCGTGGGCTTCTTGGTAAACACGTTTGACTTTAAAACCCTACAGAAAGAAGTCCAAATACGTTGGATTTCATGATGTATGCTGCCAGTTCTGGTCATATAAGTGAGAGATACACGATACACGACCAGGGAATATCTTGTGCAATAATGCTATTATTTCACGTTGTAGCACCATCCTGTTGGAACCATGTGTCTTCCAGATCCATACTATCCGTCTTAGCTCCAGTGCACCAAAACGTTTTATCATATCTCGGTAGCGTCTGTTATTGATTTTTTGTGAATTACTAGCTGATATGTGACAACTGGTGCCATCCTGTTGGAACCATGTGTCTTCCAGATCCATACCATCCGTCTTAGCTCCAGTGCACCAAAACGTTTTATCGTATCTCGGTAGCGTTTGTTATTGATTGCTTGTGAATTACCAGCTGATATGTGGCAAGTGGTACCATCCTGTTGGAACCATGCGTCTTCCATACCATCCGTCTTAGCTCCATTCCACGAAAAAGTTTTATCGTGTCTCGGTAGCGGTTGTTATTGATTGTTTAAGCATTCCCAGCAGCCGTTTCGCAGAAAAATGGTCCGATTGTCCTTTCAGACCCAAATCCAGTGACATGTTTGAGAAACATTTCCTTCTCATGAAACATATGTGCACGTATTGCATCATTCCAAATGCAGCTTGTTTGCAAAGCCATCAACATAAAAATGTGGCTCACCGCTAAAGATAATTTTGTTGAAACACTCACCACTCACTTGTTGTTCAGGGACCCCATTTGAAGAACTGTCTTTGCTGTGTGCGGTTTGAGTTCTTCAGACAGTTGAATTTTGGCGTCATGGAGACGCAAATCTTTCTTGAGAATACGGATAAGATTTCATTCATAATAGCTTAGTATTTGTTTATGTAGTATTTATGAGCAGTGTTTTTATGCATTTCCTTTTTATATATGCTTTATGTTTCTATATATGTTTTATTAATATTTTATATTTGTATTGTAGATTTTATGTTTTGTGTTTTATGTTCTGATATTGCAACATGCTTCTTATGCTTATGCTTTACTTTCATTACAGGTATCAACTTCTTAGATTTTAAATTTGATCATTCTAACTTTCCATACGGCCATTCACGGTTGCAGAAAACATTTAGGGCGCTATCACGCCACTCATCCGAAGGCGAAAATAAGAGTCTGAAGTCAGCATTAGAGCTTTAAGTGGCTACACTACATAATAGCAAAATTCAATTTTTAAGTCATGAAAATCATCGAGACTGATGAAAACATAATTGCTTAGTGAGAGATTCGAGAGAATATATCTATTCTTGAGAATTCAGGGTATGAGTATCCTGCCGGTACTAGCCATACGGTTAAATCCACGTGGTAAGCCTGGTGAGTCAATTATTAACTTGTACAAATGACACTAGTCTTTGCCCGCCAGGCACTAATCCTATTCTTAGTATAACACAAACACGTTCACAAACCGTAATAATCTGGTTAATCCTTGGATAAAACTAGATTCAATGCTTTATTAAATACTTAAAAAATGAGATAAAGGGGGGGGGGGGGGGGGAGGGGTTGGTGGGTGGTGGGTTGGTGTTTTTGTTTTTTGTTTTTTTTTTTTTGTTTTTTTGTTTTTTGTTTTTTTTTTTTTTTTTTTTTTTGCTTTTTTGTTTTGTGTTCTTGGTTTGTTTTTTTTTATTTCTTTGTTGGTGTGGTTGTTGTTTCTGGTTTTTGTGTCCTATTGTTTCTTTTTTTTTTTTTTTCTTGGTTTTTGTTTTTCTTTTTGTGTGGTTTTTTTTATTTTTATTGTTTTGTTTGTGGTTTTGTTATTTTTTTCTTTGCTTTGTTTTTTTTTTTTTTTTGGTTTGGTTTTTGTGTTTTGGGGATGGAGAGCGGTGGGGGTGGTGTGTTGGGTGCCCACCCCCCCACCCCCCCCCCCCCCCCCCACCCCCCCCCCGATATCCCCCCCCCCCCTTTTTTTCCCCCCCCCCCCCCCCCTCCCCCCCCCCCCCCCCCAACCCCCCCACCCCCCCCCCACCCACCACCCCACTTTTTTTTTTTTTTTTTTTTTTTTTTTTTCTTTTGTTTTCTTTTTTTTTTTTTTTTATTT